ATTGTTCACTGGATCAGTGCTTTCTAAGAAAAAAATGGAATTTTACCTGCCTATTTGTTGTGTACAGACCATACTGGAGATGCTATTTTCCAAATACTCAAGCTATCATCTACGTTGTTGATTCCAGTGACACCGACAGGATGGTAATAGCCAAAGATGAATTTCATGCAATTTTGGAGGTAATGCCCATGTTTTGTGGAAATTATAGTAATTAATGCCATCTCAAATTCCATGCCAATGAACTTAGTAACCTTAAACACAAATATGACCAAGTCAAAACAATAAAGCAACTTATGTTTCCTTAGGTTTTTATGAAGTTCCTTTTAAGGACTATTCTTTAGATGTGTAGCTTTTCATCTGCTCTTGGYTTGAGGTGTACATTGAACACTGCAAATAGTTGCACAAATGGTGTTCTTGAGGTGGCCATTTCCAATAGTGGTGCTATTGATTGTGAAATGGTTGTGCACCCTACACACAAGGTTATCCATTGGAAGAGATGGGTGAAAGAGGATTTATTTTAGGATCCTTTGGCTATAAAATTTWCCAAAGAGCTCACTTTAATTTTCAAAATTGCAATGTTTTCTTAATTGTGGAGTGTGGACTACTATATTTGTAGCCTTTCCATCTTTTTAACCAAGAGTTCTTGCTGTCTTACCTAATTGTGCTACATTTTTGCTTTATTCATTTTTTTGTTTTATCCAAAACTAAGGCACATGCTCGCATGCCATAATGAATTGAAGCACTAATGGGCATCTTAGAACTTTAACCTTGCCTGTTGGACCTGTAACAGGAGGATGAGTTAAAAGGTGCTGTTGTTCTCATTTTTGCAAACAAGCAGGTTAGTTGCTCTTTTTTCAGTTCAATAAAATAAATACACAGGGAAACTAAATGAACTTTGATCTGTTATATTGTCATACTCTTCTTTTCCTTTTTAGTTTCTGAAAAATTTTAAGGTAAATTTCTTGTTACCTCTCCTGATGTTTGGCCAAATGCTAAGACTTATAGTTTGTATGTATTTGTATTTTGTATTATTTTGTATGTATGTGTACTGTACATATTTGTATTTGTACTCTTTCCAAACTAAGCCTTATAGTTTGGGATTGAGCTGTTCCACCCCTCTGTTAACTTGCTGCCAACTTTAGTGATGGAAAGTGTTCACATGACATTCAAAACTTTTCAAAAGTCTATTTTACCGTTTACTACACCTTGTATATGGAAAAGATACTCTTATTTATATTTCTTGAAGGGACAAATTTTTTTCTTCTATGTTTTTAAGGTGAATGAAAAGTTGAAATAAGGTTGAAGAAAATAAAATAAAAATTTGATATGGCAAAAATGTATTTAGTGTTTTYAGATGAGGTTACATTTGTTAATATATTTTAAAAGCAAAATTAATATTTCATTATTAAGGTCATTTTAGTAAAGTACCTATTTCTGTTTTAATTCCCTTTCTTCTATTGCCCCCTGTGCTTTTGGTCAAGGGGGGTATAAGTTAATGGGTATACCTGAGTGGAGGTCTTAACATTTGACTTGTGTTTTCAGCAGTATATTATCAATTAAACTAAGGGTCTAAGGCCCCATTAGGAATAGGGGTCTGTAATCCGAATCAGAATGGGCCATTCCAATTTCAACTGTTTGGTTGTGTGGAACTGGAATCCCATTTCCATTCCTGGTGGAATGGCATTCCCCCATTTGAGGGAATGGCCATTCCCTCCCCCTCCCTTGGGAATTCCTGCTGATTCCAATTTTCATTCCCAATCCTGTCTGAACCAAACAAACTATGGGAATAGACCATTCCGATTCCGATTCCGATTCCGGCTGCGAACCAAACGGACCCTAACAAATATTATGTGGAAGAAAGAGGGAAAACAGAGGAAGATGACAAAAAAGAAGAGAGGAGGATGGAAGAGATATCAA